ATGATCCCAATACCGACAGGTCCGCCCCCGAGCACCAAGACGTTATCAATTGGCTTGAATGGAGATATGTTCACGGCGTGCCAGGCTACTGCCAACGGTTCGACCAGTGCTGCTGCTTCGAGGGATACATTGTCGGGAATTGTATAGAAATGTTCTGCGGGTGCTACGATGTATTTCGCCAATCCACCACCGTAGCCTACCAAATTGATTAGTATATAAGTCTGCATGTACACCGTATGTTGTAGGGATATGTACGTACCCGATAGCCCGATGAAACCGATCTTCTCGCAACAGTGTTCATAGCCCTGCTTGCATGGCGTGCATTCTCGATCGAAAATGGTCGGTCGCACAACCGCTCGTTGTCCCGGAGAGATATGGGTCACGCCTTCTCCGACTTCTTCGACGATTCCGCTGAACTCGTGACCGAGTGTTACTGGCAGGCTGGTTCCTGTGATTGCGTGTGGCTTTTCTGGAACTAGAACAGGGCCTCCGGAGTATTCATGGATATCTTTTGAGAGTAAGTCTGGGGGTCTTCGACACAGAAATCGATCGCGAACTTACCACTGCCACAGATCCCAACGAATGATGGTCGCATCTATGAGTAGATCTGTCAGCGCATGCATTGTAATTGTTATGTGCGTGAAGCGCACCTTCACCTGCCCTTTGCCGCATGTGGGTTCTTCAATTTCCTCAACCCTGATGTCGCCGCGACCGTGGAAGCGCGCTGCCTTCATGACAGGCGTGGTTTTAAGGGTTGTTCGATAAGTGTTGACAGAGTCGGTTGCAGTGTTCAACATTTTTGCGGACGAATTCTGATGTCCTCGACAATGGTGAAATATGTATATTCTGTAGTCATTCGATAGAAATATGATTACTAGCAGTGTATAGCCTGAGGGGATCCAAAGCTTCAATTATCCTATATATGAGAGCTAAATGGTATAAAGTAGATAAGGGCGAACAGTATCCTAGACGTTTTTATGACGTTGATCATGATCACCCGAGATCATAGATCTATCGTACTATAAGCTGCTCGTTTGAATTAGGTTTGACAGATCATGATGTATGGAGTGACCGTCGAGTTTGATTGGTTCATTTGCATCTCGTTCCTTTGACAACCATTACAACATCCATGATGTTGCATTCTCCTGCGCGACGCCATGCTATTGGCCTGCGTATAAAAATAGTGCTCCAGCTAGCAATTTGTGATTTGCTGGAATTGAGTGGCGCTAATTCAGGTTCAAGTATTTGCTGAGAAGTGGCTCAACTGCAAGCGGCCAAGAATCAGAAGGGCGTGGCTTGAGATGGCGTCTGGGGAGTGAAGCTCGATTCTTCACTTTGTGGGGTGCTAGGCAGTGGCGTCATATATCCGGCAATCCGACACATGACACTGAGTAATATCCAGTCCCGCAGCTGTCACACGAAACGGGGCAACCAGGTCGTTTTATCATTGGTGTCCAGCACTTGTCAGTCTAAAGCGATCAGCAGCACTGGGCGCAGGCTTCTAGAATAAAGGTAGCGGCAATTTTGAATGGTAGCGATGGGCAGCCGCCTTATCTGCTCCCGCTGCCACACTTTAGTCGCAAAGCTGCGTGAAGCTGCGTAAGGCTCAAACGCGGGGATTTATCCCGACCAGTCAAGCTTCTTCTTCACGCTGTTGCTCAACAAATGCTCGCAAAATAGACTCCAGTCCTTCGTTACGGCGTGCAAGTAGCATCACATCTGCGACATTGACTGTTGAGCGCCCGGCATGCCTAAATAGGAAATGCCGAGTGTTAGCCGGGAACCAAGGTCAAGCATATCCTTATCCAGATCGCCCCTGGGAGGTCACGACCACATCAAAACAAGGTAACCAGGCCCTGCTAATTGGTAATTTAGGCTTAGGGATCTGGCTTACTTAGCAAATGACTCCAGATCCTGGCTGACCGTCTCTGCTCATCATCCTTAGTCAGCTACAGGTTACAGTGATCGATACATGACGAAAGCCACCATGCAATGAGTGAACGGCACAAAGAATCGTCTGCGAATTGGTGGTGTACATATTGAACCTACCGATTTGGGCCCAGACCATTTCAGTCAAAGCTCCGATAAACTGAGGGGTGGCGTTGACACCAAGCTTGATGGTCTCTTCATCCACGATCTTTCCAATCGATAACCAGAGAGCAGATTTCAAGCGCTGCAAGACGATTTGTTACTGTGTGCCATATATGCTATGGATGATGTATAATACTTACCTCTTCAAGATTAACTTCTTCGTTCTGCTCCATTGTCTATCGAGGCTATCAGAAAAGCAAGAAGCTTGATATATGGCAAAATTGATAGACGTTGCGAAACAGGCTTTTATCCGTGGCGATAGGATGGGATCTATCGTTGATCGATCCAGCAGTCTTCGACGCGCGATGCTCGTGTCCCAGAAGACGCGTTGAGCGTACATACAAATCGAGATCAGTCGTGATTGGCTTCTCAACCCCTCCCGGAGAATCCATAACTCCGAACGCGGAATGACGCTAGACCCGAACGACCCATTTCCACATTCGGAATTCTTCTCTACTGTCCATTAAGTTCCACGCCTGTTCACCGAACCAGGGACTTCTCCTTACTCTTATCGCGTCAGTCTGTCAGGCAAAATAATTGCCCTGCAATCAATTCACCAGCCCCAATCCGCGAGTTGCCTCCTGGGCCCCCAAAACCCCACGACCAAGCTTCCCAACAAAACGTCCACTATCTTCCGGCCAAAGCCGGCGACTTCCCCTCTACGCAACCCAGCAACATTCGGACACACGGTCACTTCAGACCTGAAAACAAAACATATCATCCAAAATGGCAACCCGCGATCCCGGCGAAGTTGCCGCTGACGCTCTCAACGACTTTTTCGGTCAACTCTACAGCTTCTTTGAGACCATCTTTACCCGATTCTTCGGAAACCTCTATGCCTCCTTCGCCGATGTGAGCATCAACCGCTGGACGAAGGTCATTCTGTCTGTGATCGGCTACCTTCTCATCCGGCCATACATCGAGCGTTTCTTCAAGTTCATGCACGACCGAGACCGCAAGAAGCAGTTGGAGAAGGAAAAGGCCAAGAAGGATGGTAAGAAGGCGAAGATGTCAGCTAATGAGCTTCGTGGCGGCGCCGGAGCTGGTCGAGTCCTCGGAGAAGTGGAGAACACGGACGATGAGATTGAAGATGGAGAGGACTTCGCGACGGCGAGCGGCGTCCCTGAGTGGGGAAAGAACGCTCGGAAGAGGCAGAAGAAGTACATGAAGAACCTGGAGAAGGAGGCTGAGAGCCGGACACACAATCTCTCTGAGGAACAGCTTATGGAGCTACTGGATTGGAGTGAGTCGGAGGATGACAAGGCCGCTGGTAAGAAGGAGTAGGTCGTGTCTTTTGACCATATTCTTTTCTCTCCCTTGTATTCGATAATATGATTTTGGCTGGGAAACATATACTTTGGAGATTGTGGTCTTTCTGATGATGTACCATAAAGACGGGTGGTGTTATAATGTATGTAATAAGATAAAGCATCAAGGTGGCCTTTCTGCGCTGCCTCTTAATTTATGACGCAGATATTTTGGTTCTTGATGAATGACCGTAGAGTTGTAGTTGGCTATGATAGGGTCAATGTTATTTTCCTGGACTGGTCGAAATGTGTGACTTTGCCAAATGATCCAGTGACAGACGAAAGCGAGTGTAGCATCAGGCTCCCCATCAGCGTCCTGGCCCACAACCCGAACACAATGGTTATGCCGAAAAATAAATGCATAATCAACTTCTGACAATCCCGTTTGGACAGATAATCATGGAAAATACCTTTGTAACGCCGGTAGGGAGCGTCGATCAATGGGGTATTGATGTTAGAAGAAGCTGCTCTCGGCACAACGCATGATAACACCTGCCGATACAGCATCCGGTACGGTATCCGATACTGCTACCGATACACCTCCGATACAGTCGAATAACACCCCATGGGGTGAGATTCTTCCTTTTAGCTTCAATATGAGGGAAACTTCGGAAAATGAGAGTAATGAAGCTAGCCAAAGCCTAGCAAAGTGACCATCCATACATTATTAGCAAGAAATTGGGAAACAAAGTTCATAAAGCGAGGGTATTCTCTATGCCGTGACGTCGACGAATATCCTGAGTACGATGCTTCAAGCCATTGTTCCTTCGCCAAGCAATCTCCTCACTATGTATTAATCTCACTCTATTCCAATTGTTCCAGAGAATGTGTGAAGTAACTACAAATATAATTCCCGTAGCACTTTATGAATATATTTCAGGGACGACGAATGTTGAGAGAGGCGGTTCTTCTTCGCAAGGGCAGCGGTCACGCTACCCCGTCTGGAGGCGGTTCGCCCCGCTTATCTGGGGTATCCAGCGGGACATACTAGAACAAAGTCGTCCGACTCGCTTGCGTGTCACAACACTCAGCATCTTCTGCCTGTATAACTACAACAAATACACATTAGCTTAGCTCAGCGGTTTATACTTGTTCTCCATAGGTCTTGCCGACAGGGCACGCCGCGCTTCTATTTGCTTGCTCAAATACAGCATGGTACGTACGTACCTGCTTCTACACAAAGTGGAAGCATCGCTCTTCTAACTTAAGACTAGTCTCAGCAATACAGAAAAAGAAGGAAGATCGCGCTCGCCTGTCTACCATGTCGTACCCGAAAAATTCGCTGCGACGGCATTGAGCCCAGCTGTGGCCCATGCAAGCGACGAGAGACCTCGTGCTCTTATCCCGTGGAAAGTGTCAGGAAAGCTCAAGATAACCAGTAAGACTCTGCTGTGCGTATAATGGACAGAACCTCGAGCCAACTACTTCTTTAGGTATATACACCGGTTACACACCGTTGACCGAGCTGCGTCTGCAAGAGCCACCCACATTCCTACTTCTGGAAACCCACTTGCTTGGAGTGATCCCAGAGTTGAACAGAGTACATCAAATGGTGTCAGTCATCGACGTGATCTGAATAATGATACCACCGACTCTCAGAGCATGCCTTTGCAAGCACGCACAGAGGATGATCCTACTTCTTTCTCTCAAAATGCCCGCAATGACGGACACAATGCCTCTAATCTTAGAACAAGGCAAGCCTCGGGCTTCCGGAGTTCCAGAGGAAGCCAAAGCCGAATCACCGCAATGGGCATAACCCCCGACGGACACTTCGGCTTGTCAGAGAGCGAGGACGAGTTCTTTGGTGATTCATCGGTCGCGTCTTTTTTAAAACAGATCCAAGATTCTGCAACAAAAGAGCCTGAACCAGGGAGGTCGACATATCCGGTTCCGCGTGCGACTTTTGGCACGCCATCAATTTCAATACCCCCAGTGGCTGATAATAGTCTGAGTGTCAAAGCCTACGATCTACCACCACGACAACTGGCTGACTATCTTTTAAACTTCTATTTCGATAAAATCCACAGTCTGTATCCATATGTTCATAAACCAAACTTTCTTCGCGCTTATAGGCGCTTATGGACGCCAGATACGGAAACAGACACAGAAACCATCTCGTCCGGACTGGGCTTAGGAGATGCCTACGTGCCCCCGGCACTGTTTCATTGCGCATTGAACATAATATTTGCTCTTGGATGCCACTTTTCTAAATTAGATCATTCAGCACGGCAAGCTACAGCGGAGGAGTTCTTTCAGCGTTCGCAGCGACTATTGAATGTGATGTCACTTGACAAAGGTGATTTAGCCCTAGTACAAACCTTACTATTGACGTCGCAATACTTGCAAGGAGGCGAATCTCCATCAAGATGCTGGAATATAATCGGCCTTGCTTGCAGAATCGCACAATCTCTCGGAATGCATTCTCTTAAGGCCGATAGACCTAGGACACCGGCCCAAATACAGATGAGAAGGCGTGTCTGGCATGGATGTGTAATGCTTGATCTGTGAGTGCATCGGATTATGAACGTTCATATTACTGACAAAACCCCAAGTGCAAGTAGCATGATGCTGGGTCGTCCTCCCATGACTCATTCTTCCGCAGTACCTCTTCCAGAAGCTATCGATGATGAACTTCTCGATTCGACCACAGCAACCTGTCAATCACCAGCGGGCACGCTTTCAAAAGCTGAGTTCTATGTCAGAACTCTACAGTTATACAAGATACTCAGAAAGATACTATATGAGGTCTATGAGCCTTGGGAGGACAGGGGGTCTCCTGATCAGTCAGAACGGCCAAAGTCCGAGAATGAGTTAGCACAGACCTTGCTCAGTTTAGATGAGGAGCTTCTGGAATTTGAATCAAGTCTTCCAGCGTCTCTACAATGGCGTGATGCACAGCAGCCCGCTGATGTGGCTGGACCATTCCGTCGTGAAAGCAGCCTGTTGAAGGGAAGGTGAGTACTGCTGCGAATCGTTTGATGATACGTCACTGAACATTGCCCCAGATTTCTTCATCTGAGGATTTTGCTTCTTCGTCCTACATTTGTCAAATTCTGCCGTGACAATCTGCCGCCGCGTCAAGCGGGCGGCTACCCTCGACACCAACAAGTACCGTTGAAAAGCAGAATAGCCGTGGATTTCAGTATCAGCTGCTCGACGTCATGTGTCGAGACTGCGATCGAGCTGTCGCATCTTATGAATGAAATTTCGACGACTGAACTGGCAAGTGTGTGGTGGTACAATGTCTTTTGTATGTGCTCCCCATGACGAGTATGAAGCGGCGGCCACTGAATAAAATCCCTAGATGCTTTTACGGCTGGCGTTGTTCTTATACTGGCACAGGCATCCCCTGTTATGACGTCTAGATTTTCCCACCCAGTCCTGGGCAATGCTTGGAAGAGCTGCTGTGACTGTTTAGAAAACATGAGCTCGTACAGCAACACCGCAAGAAATTGCGCCGCCAATCTGCGGAAGAGTCTATCTGAAGTGCTTGACGACCAGGGACACGAAATTACTGTGCATACCGAGAAGCCTGCGCCTCAAAATATAGACCGACAATTGGGTCAAGATGTTGTTTCATCGAAAGCACCGAAATTCTTTTACAGTCTCGCTGGATCAGAGATTAGCGATGGTGCCTGCCAAGGCGCTATGGATACTCAATTCTCTGAGGCATTGGACTCTCTCTGGAGTGGAGATGATGTGAATAGCTCCCTGATGGAGATGCTATGGGATGACCTTTGGTTGGCAGCGCCATCATTCTTCTGAAATTCGCCAGATCATGATGAAATTCAGCCTATTGAAAAGTGAATAGAAAATAGCAAAGAAGAGAGAGCCACCTGGCCAACATACAGGACTTCCTAGGAACTCGACATCTATGGCCTAGTTTATTACCATGATGGAAAACAATCTATTCCCATCTGCCAGGGAATCACTTGTCGGATAAACCATGGAACATGGTCTAGAGTTATAAAGTTACATGGTCCTTCATTTAGAAAACGCCGATCTCCAAGGCGATCTTGCATAAACCCCGCACATGACAAGGCCATGTGTGAGGGGTTTGAAACGCTTTCCCTGTGCAACACTTAGCTGACACTATACACTTTTAGGAATCCGCACAGTCAGTGCCCGAGTTCAAAGTAACCTACTCTGCCACGAGCGCATTGCTTATATCCATTGACGTCCCCTTTTCCTCTTGTCACATACTACTGGAACATTTCTAGCGTCCATGACCGAGACCAGGAAAACAGACGTGTTCATTAGCGGTGGCGGGCCTACTGGCTTGCTTACTGCGTATGCACTTGCTAGACAGGGTGTGAACACCTTACTCGTTGGTAGAAACTCCAATTTCTTCCCTCTTCTGGATTTTCCCAAGAGACTAAGCCTCGTTATTTTCTCCGCACAGAGCAACATGACAAAGCTGAACAAGCCATGTATGGTCGCGCAACAACTCTCCATCCGCGCACGCTTGAGTTGCTGGACCAATTGGGCGTATTAGATGATCTGAACCAAATCGGTTACGTGGCCCGCGATAGTGTGACTTACAGGGATGGCAAGCGGGTGACAGCCCGAGGCTGGGAAATTATGTACCAGCATATGCGTGGCACGTTCCTGGACTACTGTCTGAATATTCGTCAGAAGTACTCGGAAGGGGTGATACAAGATGCATATGTAGCGCTTGGAGGCGAGCCGTACATCGGATGGAGACTAGATGGCTTCGACGTCGAGGAGGCTTGTGATGACAATTATAAAGTCGTCTCAAATGTAACGGAGGTTAGCTCTGGTAGGAGTTTGACGGTGAGAAGGTATGTGGGCAGTCCGCTATTTTGCAGTTGGTTTGAAGAGACTCATGCTGATATTGCTTGTTAGTAAATTCATCGTTGGCGCGGATGGCAGTCACTCACTTGTGAGACGCCTCGCTGGCATTTCATTTGAAGGCGATCACACAAATTTCAGATGGGTACGAATCGATGGGCGCTTCAAGACTGATATGCCCGATGCTGATATTGGCTTCGCTTCCATCGAATCCAAAAGCCACGGGAATGTGCTATGGGTTCAGTTAGATCATGGCGTGAAGCGGATCGGATTTGCCATGACACAAGAATTGCTCGCTAAATACGGGGATAAGCTTACACTTGAGGATGCGAAGGTGGAAGCTGTCAAGTCCATGGAACCTTTTTCATTGGAATTTGAAACCATTGACTGGTGGACTCTATATGGGTAGGTCTTTATTCCAAGTCCCCAGGTTCCTTTCTAACTCCCACCACAGGATCAACCAGCGCGCAGCAGAGTGCTTTTATAACAACGACCGAGTGTTACTAGCAGGAGACGCCTGTCATACACACTCATCTGGTACAGCACAGGGCATGAACACGGGCGTTCATGATGCAGTGAACCTAGCCTGGAAGCTCGGCGGCATCGTGAAAGGTTGGTATAGTATCGATGTGCTTCGCAGTTATGATACAGAGCGGCGTGCTGTAGCGCAATATCTAGTCAACCTTGACAAGGATTTCTCGGCTACCATCTCAGGGACCGTCCCTAACAGGTACAAGGATCTATCATTAAGCTCGAATGAGCTATTTGCCAAGGTCTTCGATGATACAATTGATTTTTGTATCGGATTAGGAGTTCACTATGACAAGAGTGTCATCAACAAGCCTTCCTTGGCGACAGCGATGTCAGCGGGCTGGAGAGCTCCAGATGCTTTGGTATATGCTCCTGGATCACGACTACCGATTCGATTGCTCCACCTGATGCCGAACGTTGGTGCTTGGACAATTCTTCTCCTGGCTGGAAATCCCGAGAAGACTAAGCAAAAGCTCTCCCATGCTGTGGAGACATTGAAACAGCTTAGCAAGTGCCTTCCTCGCAGCATGGTTCGGTCTATAACTGTGGTTGCTCAGAGAGCTGCTGGAGGAGACCAAAGGTTCAGTATTCCGACAATCGGTCGACTTTACTATGACCCAGAGGGCTCGGCCCATGCTGCCTATACGGTGGCTGATAGCAACGGTGCAGTCATCAGTATTCGACCTGATGGGATCCTAGGGTATGCAACGCAACTTGACGAGGCGAGCAGTGTTCGAGAATATTTTGCCGGCTTCGTTACCACCCTCTGAGGATGCATTAATAATATGCTGAGCTCTTCAAGTTTGATTGCAACTTGTGGCATGGCGTGGTCAATGACTTGGCTGCTATTTCAGTGACATCTTCTCAAGATATAAAAGTTGCAGGTGTAATCCCCATAAAACCTGGCACAATATGAGTAGTGGAGACGAATGATATAGTTTGGTTTCGGGTGCTGTATGGTAATATTACCGAAGCCGAAACATACCTCTATGAGCGACCTCAAGTGGAACCTTTAGTTCCAAGCTTGATTCTCAGCACCAAATGAGGTTCCTGATTTTTGGGATTTGTCCCAAGCTTTCCGGTGCTGATAATACCAGCGATCATTATGTATATGCATCGTTGCACTAAGAGGAATACACTACCTTGTGCCGTGGTATGAAGCTGAGAACCCCGCAGATCCTCGACCCGCCCCCGCAACCGACCAGTGGCAGGTCGGTGAAAGATGACCTCTACGCGCCTAGCAGTAATTACAGTCCGACACACAACGTCCTTCTAGTGCTTATCAGTGCCACTGGCTCCCATGTTATTTAATCGACCTCTTCTTCCTCTATTTCTCTATATGCTTTCCCAAGACTCATCCAGGTCAAATCATCACCGACCAACTCACCAAGATGGGCCTGCTCAGTGACTTCACTCGACTTGATTCAATTCATCATGAATCCATTTCATACTTTCTGCCATATATTGCCTGCTTATCACTCCTCTCGCTTATAACCTATGTTCTATACATCCGCTTTTACAGCTCATTAGCTAAAGTCCCCGGCCCCTTCTGGGCCAGTCTTTCGCGATGGTGGCTGGTATTCTTCTCAGACAAAGGCAATATGCATCGATTGTATCCTCGTCTCCATGAGAAGTATGGCAAATTGGTTCGTGTCGGACCAAGCGAAGTTAGTGTGGCGGACTTGAATGCCATCCAGACGATTTATGGTATGGCCGCTTTTCACCTGAAATTGTTTCGTCAAAGCACTGACGCATCAACGTGTAGGGGCTGGAAACAGGTTCGCAAAGAGTGATTGGTACAGTGAGTCCACTCGCCCTCTCAATAATACTGATGTGCAATTTTGCTGAAATACTACGAAGGCGTCTGGCAAGGTCGTCGTAAATTCGATCTCTTTGCAGAACGAAGTGAGATAATCCATGGTGCTCAGCGACGACTCGTCAACAATATCTACTCGATGAGTAGTCTCAAAGACTTTGAGCATGGCGTGGATGCAGTCGTCGAACGACTCATGCAGTGTCTACACCGGCAAGGGCCTGACGCAACTGTTGATATGGGGAAGTGGGTGCAGCTGTTTGCTTTTGGTAAGTTTTCCCAAATATGTTCAATGCATGTTACGTAACTTCTAATAAACGCAACCCAGATGTCATTGGAGAAATCACATTCTCCAAATCATTCGGTTTCCTCGAGAACGGAACAGACGGTGGCGCATTCAGTCAGATTGAGAACGCACTTCGCTCGGCTTCCTGGGTGGGACAAGTACCCTGGGTTTATTGGCTGCATGATTATATGACGCCTCTCATCGGAAGTCGCTTGGGTATCGCAGCGCGCCATGGTACGATCCGACAAATTGCAGCTCGTGAGATTATGGCCCGTAGAGAGGAAAAGCATGTCGAAGAGGCTAAAGAAGAGCAAGACATCTTATCCAAGCTCTTTGACGTGCAGAAGAAGAAAGGAAATCAGCTATCAGATGATGATGTGCTCTCAATGGCTACGTCGAATGTTTTTGCGGGCTCTGATACTACTGCTATCTCGATCAGATCGATCATCTACCATTTGCTGAGGACGCCGACCTCCCTGAAAAAGCTTAGGGATGAGATTGAAGATCGGAAACGTCAGGGGAGGTTCTCGGACCCGGTTACGCTGGACCAGGCGAATGACATGCCGTATCTTCAGGCGTGCATGTGGGAGGGGTTGAGACTGCACCCGGCTGTTGGGATGACTCTGCCTCGTGTTGTTCCTAAGGGGGGTATTGTGATTGATCGGTGCTTTTTGCCAGAGGGGGTAAGTTGACTCCAGTATCCATGGTTTGTTGACTGCCCAATGAAGGATTGTGTATTGACGCAAGATAATGACTAGACAACCGTGGGCGTCAACCCCTGGGTCGTCCATCGCGACGCAAGTGTTTTCGGCGACGATGTTGAAGCATTCCGCCCTGAAAGATGGCTAGGGGAGAAGACAGGCGATATGAGTGAGTCCATACCTCCACATTATGTTTTGATTCAGCTAATCAAATGCCTTCTATTATTAGGACGATACTTCTTCGCTTTCGGTGGTGGTTCGCGACTTTGCATTGGAAAGAGTACGTATACCTCATCTTCGTCATACAAATTTCTATAGCTAATATTTATGACAGACATAAGCTGGATGGAAATGAGCAAGGTAAAAGCCACCCAACCCAATGATACCCCTCTTTACAGTCCACCTTCCAACATCATTACGGTGGAATGTATACAACATTATTAACGGCGCATAGATGATCCCAACCCTCCTCAACCGCTTCGACATCCAACTCGCGAACCCAGATGAGCCATGGAAGGAAACATGTTGGTACGTATACTACCATCCACCCACAAATCCGATCACAAACCCATCATATCAGCCAAGTCAATACTAACACTATCACAGGTGGTTCGTCAAACAAGAAGGTCTCCTCGTCAAACTCTCACCCCGCAAATCATAACCCCTACATCCTCACCAACCATGTCCCAATATCACCCCAATCCATCAAACTGTACATACATACAACCCACCAAGACAAATCAATGATGACTATCCCTCCACTCCCCCACCCTAAAAACCCAATCTCTCACCAACGCCCCAAACACCTCCCTCTCACTCCCATCAACCGGCAATCCATGCGTCCCACGATCCAGCACCGCAAAAGTCGCCCTCGGATACCTCTCCAACAGACCCAAACAATCCCTATACCCCACGCTCTTATCCTGCCTCCCACAAACCACCAGCGTCGGGGCCATCAACTTCTCCCCATCATTCCCATTCCCAAGTACCTCCTCACTCAACCGATACCTCCCCACATCCCCCCTTATCCGATCCAAAACACTCTTATCAACCCCCTCCTCCGCAGGAACATACACCTCCCGATACTTCCTCACTAACTCCCCCACATACCCCTCCGTCTGAACCAGCACTTTCCCCCCGTTCTCAACTCCGAGAAGCGTCCTATCCTCATCGTCAAGCCCATCCATGAGTTTCTCGTTTTTAATAAGTGGTTCAACCCTATCAACATCCCGCTTCGCATCCTCCGGCTCAACCAACGGCACCCTGAGAAGTAACCCATCTATCTGAGCCATATATCTCTGAGCGATTGCACGCGCGAGATACGCCCCGCAGGAGGATCCGATCAAAATAAATCGGGAATTTCCCAGGGTAGTGTCGATGAAGTGCACGAGGTGGTGGTAGATGTCGTCGAGGGAGGTGATGTTTCTTGCTGGGGTGGAGGCCGTTCCTGGTAGAGCGATGTAGATTCGGTGCAGGTTTGAGTTGGGGATGTTGGGGCTGGTGAAGATGGGCTCGAAATCGTGCATTTCTGTCTGCGGAGTCATTTCCCATCCTGGGAGGATGAGGATCGGGTGGCCGGTGGGTGGGCCGTGGGTTTGTGTGGGGAGGGGGGTCATTTTCTTTTGGTTTCTGTTTTGGGTTTGGTGGTGAGATGGGTTGGGTTTGGGTAGAGTAGTATTACTATGTGAGGGATTGTGGTTGGAGATGTGCAGGGTTCAATTTAGGAGGGTTGTATCTGGGAGGGGATGTTGGAGTCATAGATTAGATTTGTGGTGGATTTGTCAGATCACGCCAGATCATTCATTTGGTTTTGTGGGTTGGCTAGTTTAGTTTGGGGCTGGGACTGACTAGTGGATTTGAAGGTGTCAGGGTCAGATACGAGGGCAGGATTTAAGCTAGCTTTGGGCACTTAATCAATTGCGCTTGGAAGGACTTCAATATGTAGTGTAGTGATGGTGTTGTGGTCGTCATGTATGTATAAATGAGATAAGAGCTGATAAGGACTTAGATGCATGCAGATCATAAACAGGCTTGGCAAGCGGAAGAGTCATGGCCATGTACTCTATGATCCATAATAGAGACTTCATTGCCACAACTGAAAAGTACTTCATTCGAACAATACCGGAGGCTGTACCAGCCGGTCATTGCGAGTGCTCCTTTAGCCACTTGTACACCACGGAAAAGTCCTTCCCACGGTGTTCCTCCTCAACAGCATTATACACTTTCTGAGCGGTATCTGCCAGCGCCAAAGGTGTTTGCGACTCCTCCGCAGCAGTAATCGCCAGTCGAAGATCCTTATTCATCAGACTCACTCCGAACCCTCCCTCGTAACCACGAGATGCGGGTGCCGTCTCAACCACTCCAGGTACGGGGTTGTTCACTTCCATGGGCCAGCACCGGCCAGTCGACGAATTGACAAGCTCCGCCAAAGCCTTGGGGTCCAATCCCCATCGCATGCCAAGGTTCATTGCTTCCGCGGTCGCGATGTTGTTGATCGCCAGGATGTAATTGTTCGCCAGTTTGCCTGAAACGCCGGCCCCCGGGGCGCCCATGTGCCACGCCTTCTTTCCCATCATGAGTAGCACAGATCGCACGCGATCAAGCAACTGACCGGTCTGCGAAGTGGCACCGAACATGAAGCTCAATGTGCCAGCACGCGCACCCACCACACCACCCGATACAGGGGCATCTACGAAGCGCCCTTGGGATGTGGTTTGTATAGCGTTTGCGATTTCTTTCGAGGACGCAGGATCAATCGTTGATGTATCGATGAACAGTCGCTCTTCTTCTAGCGTGGGAAGATCACCTTCTCGTAGAATAGAGTGATAGACATCCTTGACATGCTGCGGCCCTGGAAGGCTGGTGATGATCACGGACTGGATAGTATCATTAGCAAAACAAACCCAATTAAATGCGGGGTTGTGAATAGATATAGCACCCCAAGTATGTAGCCTTAAAGTAGCAAGCAATGTCCGATCGCAAAGCCACGTAAGGTCTCGCATCGAGCGGTGACAGACCCCCGAATAGGAACGATCAACTTACCGACTTTTCCGCAAGTTCTCTCGCGGTCTGAGCCACCAGAACCTCCGAAGCGCCGTCAGCAGCGCCGCTGCTCCTAGCGATTTCTTCTGCTTCCTTCACGAATCTAGACATGTTCTCTTCATTCACGTCTCGAATAATCAAGGTATCCGTCTCAGGAATCTTAGCGCGCAGGTTCTTAGCCATGTTGTAGCCTGTGGTAGACAAAGAGATTGTCAATGTCAATTAGACAATGCCATTGAAAGGCGTTGAAGGCTTCCCCGACCTGCTAATACCTACCCATTTGGCCCAGCCCAATGAATCCCCATGTAGCATCCCGTTGCGCAGAAGTTGAGAACGTGCGACCAGACAGAGCGTAGTGTTGCGTGAGACGGCATGTCGAGGGAGATGCTCTGAATAAGGCACCCCTTCCACTGCGAAGGGGCAGGGCACGCGAGAGACTCATTTCAAAAGAGGTATAACACGATAATGGGAGAGACCACTCAAGGTATAGTAGAGAGAGTAGTGCTAGGAAGAGATAGTATTTGTCGAAGGAAGAAGCGTAGTGACCTGGGGGAGCGAGCAGCTGTAAGTTGGAGAACAACCGAGCACCCCTCGGCCCAGTGGAGTGCTGGAAAGGTGGAACTCCGCTGCTTTCCGAGGCTTTCCATTCTTCAAAGTACCTCAAGCCAGGGGCATCATTGGGGAATGACGAATAGAGTTGAGAGTCGACGATCTTCCCTTCCTGCCTTCAATGCGGGGAAGCCCCAATGCGGTATGGCGTCGGGGAGCGTCACGGGATGGGCCCGCCGCCTGGGCCGTGAGGCATCCACTCTCCCCACTGGACTTCCCGAACACTACTACTGTACCACTCCATATCACTATATTCTCGTCTATGTATCTTCTGATTCAATTAATTAATCTATAGATGTCTGTACTACATACGGCCAAGGAAATGATGAAATGAGGGCAGGCGAACAGACGTCAAGGAAGAGTAAACGAAGGAAACATCGACGAATGGGTATGTTGAACGCCAAATCACACCAAGCACCGGCTTACAATATCAAAGCAAAAGAAGGTCGCACGAGGATTGGAGTGATGATCAGTCCCATCACTGTTGTGCTGGGGAAGATGGGTTGCTCGTTGGCCCCGTCAAATACTCCGCAGGCACCTTGGGCACGCGCGGTGAGCTGGCCGTCTGAGCCATTGCTCGCTGTTGGGCTCGAACCAGATCACGCTGTCTCTCCTTTTCTCGATTCGTAGCTGCCCCGCCGGTGAGCCGTCGCATACCGCTGCGGATCATGGATTCGAGCGACGAGGACCCGTCCGTGGCACTGCGTGTTTGACTGATAGGATGTGGCATGGCTTGTTTGTGATCTGCCAAGCCGTCCTCTATCTCGTCATCGGATAGGAATGCCGACTCAAATCCGATCAAGGGCGTGTTATGGTGTGCACTAGAACTCTGAGGCGTGAACAAATGATTGACTGGAGACGTGACGGAGCGCGTGTGGGAAACGGGCCGTGCAGTTTGGCTCTGAGGCTGAGGCGTAAATGTCCCAGGAGATGGTGTCCCCATGCTGTCGAAGCGCAGATTGGACGGACGGGACTCAGCAAGTCCATTATGGAAAGAGGACGTTGAGGCGGTTCGGGCGAGGGACTTGCGGAGGATTGGCGCAGTTTGCTGATCGTACAGATTGGCGTTGGTATCGGCAAATGTACCAGTAAAGCCCCGTAGGGTTGAATCGGAAATAGGATCCAGCGTTGCGTGCACCGGGTCCGTCTCCTCGAAGAAGTCATCCAGACTGTCCAGCTTCTGGACGATGTCCCCCATGTTGCCGTCCGTTTGCGTGTCGATAGATTTCATCGTGTCCGCACGCATGGGGAAGAACGTGTCATTATACTCGTCGGCGTGGAATTCCACCTCAGAGGGTGCTGTCTCCTGCACTTCCATACGGTCAACCTCCGCGCAAGTGTAGAACACTGCATGGACATTGTGTCGTGTGATGCTTGATTGCGTCGCGGGCATGGGTATCGACCATCCAGTGGGCTCCGGTATACCATACAAGCTCTGCACGCGCTCGTACTCCTTTCGGATAGCCCGAGAAGACGACGAGGAAGCCATGCTCATCCGGATGTGATGCTTCTCCATTGGATTGGCCGAGACGGTCATGATGTGGTCCATGACCTGCAAAGCTTGGGGACAGAGATCCGTTTGTAGCAGTCGCAAGAGAGGAGAGATCAGATCAGGTCCATGACACGTCACTTCTCCCCGACGCATGTCCATGTCAGGTAACAGCACGCATAATATTTTCATGACCTTGACGCGGAACCAGTTTGTGGTATTCGTCAGCAATCCCATGAGGAAAATAAGACTTTGAACATCCTGGCGAGGGAAGTAATAGGACCGAATCTCTGTGATGATATGGTTCAGGAAATCGTTCTCCGCCTTGTATTGGCCGTTCGCAAACCCGAGCAATGAAGCTGCTAGTCGGGGGCATCTTTCACTTTCAGCGACCCTTGCCAGCAGTGTCGCGCGCGCCAATGTCTTGGGATCGTCAACATCCGAGTCAAATTGACGCAAAAAGTGAGACAGGTTGGCTAATATGGCGAATAATAACCTGTTACCATCACCAATGAGTTCGT